CCCCATAGCAGTGACTCACCACACATTAACAGTTTTAGGCACAACATCATTGTAGACCATAAAACACTACCAAATTCCTGTCGTCGATAATTTTACAAGATGTACTTGCAAGGTAACTTTTGAGTGAGAGGACCAAATGTTTCTCTTTATACAGTCCTGACTTTAGCAGTCTATAAATCAGAATTATTAAAGCCTTATGATAGCAGGAATTCAAAGGAATTTAAGTGACTATTTCAACCACGAACCATGATGACTAAAATACCTGGATAGGCATTTTTATTGGCAAACTCAGGAATAACATTTCAGGAAGGAACACATTTTTGTGTTCAGACTTCTTCATATCAGCATAGCATAGCATATATTTTTGATACAGCTGTGCTTACAATTGAGGACTACAACAGCATCAACCAAAGCTGGTAAAAATGCCATGTGATTAAATTCTCACATACGGTAGCTCTCCATTTTAAAAAAATATTGCATATATCTACTTAGTAACTAATTGTCATAGTTATATAGAAAAAGCAATCTATAGTTTTGATTAAAGTTTTTTTTAATTATTTTAAATGCTAAAAGTTCATAGAAGATGTTTGTTAGTTGAAAATGATTTAAAAAACAACATTGTGAATTAGAGTAAAACAAAAAACTTAATTTATGTATGTACTTTAAAGGCAAAAGCACTTGGGGACTTTCAAAAACACAAGGCAGTGTTTTAGTTAAATTATACTGTATATACATAAGATAACATAAGATAATGTGTTACGGTAACACGAAAATGCATATTGTGTAAACTGCCAAACATCAACTATAACCAAATCTGAGATAATAAGGTTTATTATTCTCTCACAGACATAATTATTTGAGCTTTTACAAGTTTTGAGGTAAAACAATCTGTGCACATTGAAATATATGGTTTTCTAATAAATCAATCACTTGGGCTTATCAACATATGTACATTTGAAATCATGCCCTCCCACTATTTTCAAAAACTACACAAATGCTATGGAGATAAGATGGTCAAAGACCTTGAGCAATGTAAACAATTACAAGTGCAATTACTGCACTACAATAAGCAAAGTTGGATAAGATTTTGTTTACAGAGAGATGTGGATGGATATGAGCAATGTCAAAATCCCTCAGCATTAACAGGTTCCAATACTTTGAAAGTATCCACTGGGCAACAAACATAAAACATGTTCAGAATTAGATAGATCAAGGAATAGAATGACAGGAGATGGCAGAGAAATGTTAAGGAAGTATGTACCCTTGATTGACAACAATTCCTTGTTTCCACTAGCTGCTTAGATCTACTACCACTAGCTGCACACATAAGGAACACATAAGGACTGCCTATGTTGCCAGTACATAGTCTCCCTACATCTAAGGTCAGACAGGGTACTGAAACTGTAATAATGATAATCATGATAATAATAATAATAATAATAATAATCTCATTAAGACAAATACAGTTGTACATTCCGATTGTAATCAGACATCTTCAGGATTAAAACTTTTTGCTGACTTTCATTTGTCACTTATTATAATGCTGCATTCTAGTTTACATACAGTTACTAAACATTTTTTGGCTTCAAAAAGCAAGAAAATGATAATTCTTTATTTTATGAATGTATGTACATTCCAACTAAAAAAAAAAGCACATCATATACTGTATAAGCTCTGAATGGACATTCATATATCAAGCAATGCTCATTATTTTCTCTCTGTGAGAGTAAGCTCTCCATATCTCCATTGCAATAATGGTTGTAATAGAAGTAGTCTTTCTTAATTATCCGTCCATCCATTTTCTAACTATTCATTCAATTCAAGGTTGTGGGGGAGCAGGAGCCTATCCCGGCAAGCAAGGGGTGGGACATTGGTCTACTGCAGGGCAGAGACAGACACAAACACGCACATGCAAAATGTATTTTATTTACTGCAGTACCCTTCTTGACACATCTATTAAGACATGGCAAGCTGAGTGAGAAAGCCACGTGTTGCTGACATACTGAAGAATCCAAGAGCGGTAACCCAGTGTTGGCTCTCACCTTTTAGATTTTCTTTAACATACTGTATAATGCTACTTCTCCCACCGTCAGTCTTGTTTTTCCTGAACTGTTTTTATTTAAACGTGTCAAATTCATCTCTTTCTTATTTTCCTTGTTTAGCCACATTTTTGAAATGCCAGAAAAATCATAACTATAATTTTTCAAACAAATCTATCTTGTCCACCTCCAACTGCTCCTATCATTCAAACACAATCACATCTGGGCTTTTAATAGCTTTGCAGTGAAATGTAAAAAGAAGAAATAAATACCACAACAGGTCTGGAGTCTTCTTCAGAAGTGTGACGGCTGCAATGTGTCAGTTTTAAAATGATATTAAATGTAATAAGTTATAATGGTATGACTTTAGCAGTACAGCACTGCTCAACTGACAAACCTTCTTTGATTGATGAATGAAGTATAGTTTGTATCAAAGTGTCATATTGCGAGGTACGTGTTGACACATGATACCGAGGCTCTAAGACTGTATACAGGCGAATTGCATGTGGTGCAAGTGATATTTTTTACGTTTAACAGCCATAAAAAAGAGACATGATGGCACATTGTTTGCATCTCTGGGGCCCTAGGTTCAATCCCAAAATTTTGTATGTTTTCCCCATGTTTGTGTGGGTTTCCTCTCAGTGCTCTGGATTCCTCCCACAGTACAAAGACATGCTAGTAAATTCATTGGCTTCTGGGAACACTGGACCTTTTGTGGGGGTGTGTCTGTGACGGACTGGTGTCCCATCCAGGGTGTATCCTGCCTTTCCCATGTTGCTTGGAAAGAAAGGTTCCAGCTCCCCTGTGATCCTGTACTGGATTAAGCAGTTAGAAAATGGATGGATGGGCATAAAAAATTAAAAATGGAAAACAGATGAAAAACACTTGTTCACCATCAACAATGCCTGACTGGGTAAGCTGACTATGCACTTTTAGACAAACTCATTTGGGTTTATAGTATCAATAATAATATGCTGAGGCCTGTGATGTGTTTGTTTGGGGGAAGGGGCAGTGTATCCTAAACATTTTATATTTATGTATTGTAAGTGCGCTAAGGGATGGAAAAGGTTGAGTAGCACTGTCTTGAAAGTTAAGTTTATTGCTGCATTTCAGCGGGGCATTCATGTTTTCTTAGAATTATAGTATTGTTTCATAAATATCAGGATAAAAATCCCAAAGTCAAAATGCCAACAGGAGATCATCTTAAGCTTGTTGAATGTATCCAGTTCAATGGCCTAGACCAAGGGACCCATTGCTGCTCTGGCTGAGACTCTACTCAATGTTTTACATTTACTGCAGTGCGTAGAGCTCACTTTAAACATACTTCATTTGGTTCAATGGCAAAGTGAGGAAGTGTGATGGATCTATGTTAATAAATATGTACATGACAATATAACTTGTAAAAAGATCTTCTTTTTTTTGTCAAACATAAAATACATGTATACTGTATACAGCCACAACTGAAAATGTCTGCCACTGATAGAGAAAGCTAATGAGTTATGTGCTTTTATGGTTATTGTAATTTATGGTTATTTTAATTTATGGTTACTCTCAGGACTCAGTTGTTAAACTTGCATTGGGAAGGTAACGGCCTGTGAATCAACAGTTGATATGTGGGTTAAGTGAATATGAAGATGCAATTCGCTGGCATGCAGCTGTGAGTTTTTACTCTCATATTATGCCAATTGAGAAAACAGGACTAAAAACCATGACAAGAACTTTGTTGGGTTTAATCCACATAAATTCTGTTCTCTCAAAATAGCCTCATCATTGTGTCTTGTGTTTTACTGGCATGCAACACATTTCCTTATATTATGCAAGGAGTCCAATCCACTCCATTTCCCTAATAAAGTAACCATACCTCACACAAAAGGCATCTTTCTGTGGGAAATGTATAGATTATCCTGCCCAATGCTCAATAAAGCTGGAAATTGATTACATTTTGCCAGGGAAACATAATTCCAGGATGTTGCTTTCCTCTCTAATCTGAGGACTGCCTTCCAGAGCTGTTTTCACAGAACTTTCAAGCAATTATAAAACAAACACCAGATCTGCTTTCAGATAATATCAGGAGAAGCTTTGCCACCATGGTACAAGACCCCCTCTCCTTAAACAACAAGCAAACGCTTTCTGCAGGAAACAGAACAAGAGATATCACAGCAGCCATCCAGGGGCTTGAACCTTTCAAAAACATAAAGCCTCACTCACCCATTGTTAAGGGCCTGAAATGTATCTATTAAAAGTTGCAACTATGCTTGCAATACCAATGTGTTTCAAAGGCTCTATGTCTATCTGATACTCCAGCTGTACTAACCAAATTTAGTACATTTTGCTTAAAACACACCACTGTTTTCTCAAACACTACTCTTTTAAATAAATATTTAAACTTATTTAAAAATTAAATACATATATACAGAAAACATTGGAAAGAAGTGTTATAAATGAGCATGTGCAATTTTTTGTGTTAAAACCTAAATAAAAGAACAATCTGAACGATAGAATGTCAGACAAAAGACATGGATATTAAAGTACTGTGAACACACTACAAGGTTGAATCTTACATCTGAAGATGACTTGCTTAACATGCTTCAAGAGGGATGTGTGGACAGACTGTTGTTTTCCAGGGATTATAAAATCAGATGGCCTGTTCAAGCAACAGCATCATGAAACAGATGTGCTATACAATGTAACTGCAGGAAATACATTTTCATGGAGACTGACAGTGGACCCCGAATATGTTAAATTGTGTAGCATATTCTTCCATGCATGTGAGTTACTACACACAAATGACAGTCGCACTGAGACAGTGTAGAAACCTCTTGGGCGTACAGCCTTTGCCAAAAGGGACATGCTATCCTATTTTCACAATGTGGGTGTTTGAACATGTCAGCTAACTTTATAAAGCACTTTGTTCTCAGGTCACAAGAGCCAAAGAGAAGACTCCACTAGAGAAACACTCACCTCTCTTCTGCATAAAACTGAAGAGATCATCCAAAAACTCTTTCCTCTTTTCATCATCATCCAGCTCATATAACTGAAAGAAAAAAAGAGAAATCTGAGTTACTCGGGGTCTTATCCTATCGCATTATAAGAGTTTTGAAAAAGGAGGATTCCTCTCTTAATAATTAGACCTAGGGACAAAAATGACTTAACAGAACATGTACTGTATGCACAGCGCCTGAAAAGCATGTGGTTTAACAATCAAAAAGTTTTTTGGAGTTTTTATTGTTCTTATTTCTGTAATTGTATTGTGAATGTATGGTGAATCCCATTCCTTTATTATTGGGACTTTTAAGCCTGGAACAACTACTGTGCTTTTAAAGGAAATCTAAGGGAGCTTGATTGATATTGTAAATATCTGTGTTTTTTGTAATTAATTAAATGTGTTTGTGTTTCTAAATCTAAATTACTTTAGGGTTAGGGTTAGGGTTTCAAAATAAGAGCTAGCACTTTTTCTTTTATAGCATTTGTGAAATTAATAAATCCTTTATTATTTAAAAAAAAACATTATACTAAAAGCACTTAAATAATTTAAGGTATTCATTTGATGCTCTAAATGATTTAACAATAACATAAAGGTTGATTACCAGTGTCATACAATAATGTATTGTAGAAAAACAAATACTGAAGAAAGATTCTCAGCTGAAAATATCAGTATCAGGTATAGCTGACCGAACATTTGAACATTTGAATTTTTGGTTTTGATAAGAATGACCCAGAATGCCATCAACTGGCATATTTTGATTCCCTTTCCAAACTGTATTGTGAAACCTAAATTAAATGAAAACCATTTTTTTAAAACGCTTTCACACTAAGAAGCTAGTTAAAGATAAAAGAAAGAACCATTACAATAAAAGGGTAAATAAAAGTTAAAATCTTCATATTTGCATGGCTCTTAAAAAGATGTCCATTGTGCTAGTCTTGATAAACGATTGCAGTTAATTTAAATTTCATAACTTTGCAGTGCAATTGGACCCATGTAGATTTAATGCTGAAACACTGCAATTATTCATTTTGCTATCGTATTTATAAATAATTTTAAATTCTTTTGACTAGATTAACCAATTTAGGGGCTTTTGTGATTTATGTTTAAAAACATATAACACATACTTTTTAATCTTTTAATGAATTGCCTCATACAATGTACTGTTTAAAAGCATACAGAGTATAGTATGTGCCTTAAAAAGATTTTTATTGTTCAATACATTCCTACTTTTTATGTACTACACAAAGAGCTTTTCCTTATTCACTTTTGTTAACCCACAATTTGTTTTCTTATTAAATCAATAAAGTAATTTCCACTCAGTCCTGACTTCACAATGAAATAAAAAAGAAAGGCTTTATAGTATTACTTGTAATGACGACTGCTTGTAAATGTTGTTTAGATAGTACAATCTCTACAATAGTACTTGGTAGAGAACTCTATCACACTTAAAATAATGTCTTATTAAATAACTTCAATTCTCTGCACACATGATGGACGTAATATTTTTATTACAGCAAACATACCACAAAGACTGATGTAAAAGTCATGTCACAACTATAATACAAGGCTGTATTGCCCTCTCTTACAGTATATTGCTGGGGTTTGTGTGTTTTTTCTGGTAGATTTGTTCAAAGTGTGTTTAACAATTTACTCCCTGGAAAAAAAGGCTAACCTGCCCTACTGTATCTGAATGTGAAATAATTGTAGTAAAATGTGACATTTGAGCATGAAATATTCCCATTTCCTGCAATTCCATTATTAGCTCTTTAATTAAGAATCCACCACAGTTGCTAAATGTAACAAAGTGTTTTTTTAAGTTGAATGAGGACCTGTGTCAGTATGTATTGGCTGCACAGGACAAAGTAGAGGTTTAATCCCACACTGAAAAGCAGAAAAAAAGAAACAACATGAAGGCTACTGAAATGTGCAAAAAGCTCAACAGCTGAAAAGCTGTGTTTCTTCTTTCTACTTTTTAGTAGAAAAACATTTAGTTGTTTTTTATGTATTTAGTTCCAAATTCAAATAATTTGAAATATAAGTGTAAAATTTAAACTACATGTCCTGAACATTTTAAACATTTTTTCCCTGATCATTTTTAATTTGATGCATGTTATATGTACAGGTACTGTATCTACACATTTCTGAAAACGTAAAAAAATGTGAAAGATCCCTGACACCTCAGACACATTTATTCACATATTTAAACCCATTCATTACCTAAAGTCAGAAAAGAAATTAATGCAGTCACATTTATTTAGGTGATGAAACCGTCTCATTCACACACAATTCTTTAATAGAACTGAAAATGTCAATACTAAAGGCCATCTAATCATATAATTAAATATAACTGCATCATTACTCATCACTACTTTGTTGTTCTGTAAGTAGAACAAGGAGAAAAAACATGCTTTCTTCTGCAAGTGTTCTACTGCTTATACAAAAACTGATACATTTTTCAGAGCTAAAGTAGAAAAACTAGTAAAATTGGTTTAAATTCTAAAACATTCAGCACAAGTGGTAACTTCAGATGCTTTTGTAACCTACTGTAAGGCATCATAACCTTCCAATAAATGGAGCTTAAAAGAACATCCTCTACCAAGCATACTGTAGTGAAACCACATTTCTTAAAAACATCAGGATATATATATATATTACAAGCACAATGCCCTGCTTGCATTTATGCTTTGTAGAAAGAATATTTATTTTTGATAATTGTTGTTTAGATTTGTCTTTAGATTTCAATTTTGATTAAAAAAAATAGATTATTTCATAGCACAGCACCATTCTAGCACACTTACTAACCAGGAGAGTGAAGTTGCTCTGTTTTTCCAAAAGGTTAAGCTAATAGATAAACAATTCAGTAGATGAGCACTTTTCAAGTGCAATAGGAACAGTGCCCAGCAGCAATGGATAGAAATCAGGGCAGTCTTTTCCTAACACCACAGTGCTCTCTCACGACAGTATAGAGTGATGCCAGAACTGCAGGAAAAGAAAATACCAGCTGGATTAGCAAATGTGTCACTAATGAAAATTAGAAAGGCCTGATAATTCAGGTTTCAGGCATGGAGACAGGTACTGTATGAATTAAAATTTGAATAAAATAATTTAGGAAACATTTTATTGTTTTCTTTCTTACAAATATAAGAATCACAGCTGAAGAACCACTTTCACGATAATATGTGCATGTTGTTTAATTCCCGGGGGGGAGGAACTTGTTTCATTTCATGCTAAAGTAGATTTTTTTTTATTTTAGAGATTATTCTGATGTCCATCATCTTTCGTGCAAGATGAATCAGTTTCATGAGAACAATACAGGAAACATTTATGGCACAACCTTATGCAGAAGCCACAGTTTCCTACTTTAGAAATAGGTTTTGTCATGCAAACATCCCACGCTGACATTTACATTACAAACATCAGTTATTTTGGGTAGTTATACAGCTAAATGTTGACACATGAAAAAAAAAATGAAATTTGGATTGGATGTTACAGAACTAAACGTCCAACAAGTGAACTAAACTTATTGTTTCTGATCCTCCAATACAAAACGGTTTTTCAAGCACCAAATACAGCTACTATGCCATTAAAAACTCAATTTTTGCCGAAATTGTCTCTTGTGAGATCTGCAAAAAAAATAAAAAGGTTTAATCCAATTGAAAAAAGGATGGTATGTTCTCTACCAAACATATTGTTTAATTAAATATTAAAATTCAGTCCTGGTATGTAAATCATTGTTCTCTGAAAATACAGTTGTTTTAAATGTGTAACAATCTTCTAATGATAATAAAGCGTTGACATGGGTATAACAACAGATAAAGAAAATGTCGTTTTAATTATAATTGTATTTGGAGACAATTAAATTTGAGAAAATTAAAATACACCAGTTTTTCCTAATATGTGACACAATTCTTATTGGAATAACTATTATGTGTTTTTCAACCTTTCCACATGGCAGGTTCTCAATCAGACAAAAATGCACTCTGACATGGAGTCACTGTGCCTTTTACGATGAGCTGCTGGCTGAGAACTTCACTCTTTGATGGAAATATGTTACTCTCAGCTCAGTTCCAATAAGTCACCAGCCATGTAAACAGGCCTTCTGATCAATACAGGAAAAAAGGGGATGACCTTTGGAAACTGCAGGGCACGAGAAATGAGGCCCCAGAGATAATAACTGAACATTTAGGAGTATATTAGCTGCCATCAATCTCTAAGAACCGAAGCAGTTCGATACCAGAGTAGCTTTAGAACGAGAAGACATGGAAAAGTCGGTAGGCGAATGCATTTACTATAGTTGAAAACAGCAGGACTCTCAAAAATCATGACCTGGAAATAAACTGCTCTACAACAGCACAAACAGGTCACTCACTGGAAGCAAAAATAATATTTTTTAACACCTGAGTTGTATTTCAGAATTTTACATTTAATAAGAAACTGTAATTTTAAGGAACACTTAAAGAAAGCACCTCAATTAGTGTAGCACTTTACTTGATAGATGACAGTTCTACTGAAAGCTCTAATAGATCACTGAAGGTCTGCACAGAATATATAACTAAAATAACACTTGATTCAGTATATTTTCACAATGTAAATGTAAGCACAATTCATATAAAAGGGGAACAAAATCACTTCTGTACTGTTTCAGCTTAAAAGCAGAAATTATTCTATGATAACATCCATATACCACATGTGATTATAATCGTATTGTAATCATTAACAAAAACCAATTGCTACACTGTTTAACCATTTAATACAAGGTTGTGACTTCTGGAAACCTTCCATGTTAAACCATTGAAATCCAATTTTCAGTTTGTGAAAATAATACTAAAGGTTAGAAAATTGGTTATGTGGAAGTTAAAACAAAATGTACATACTGCAATAAAATATCAATCCCCAAATATGTTCACTCTTACTAAACTATCACAGTTATGCTGCACTTTTTCACCATGCAATACTGTACCACACTTCTGAAAATGACTCCAGCCTACATACTGCTGGTTTGCTCTGCTCAAATAATCATAAATACTCTGTATCAGGAGGACAATACT